ATGATTATAACGTTAGAGTCAGCGAATTAGGATATCGCCGCCACTGGGGTCGACGGTACCACGTCTGCCCGTTGCAGTGTCCAGGACCAGGAGAGCGGGGACTTGACTTTCGACCAGCCGAACGCGATGAAGTGATAAAGGCAATATGCCGTTAAAGACATTCTTTATTTTGTTCCTTAATAAATTACATTACAAACATTGTTTACGAGATATTCAATAAAACATTATAAAACCATGTTAACACGTGTTTTCTGAAGTAGCTATACAGGGTGTTATAGTATACAGGGTTATAAATCATTTTAAAACAATAATTTTGAAGTTAATTCTTTTAACTTCTAACATCAGAAGTGTGGATCCTGTTCACGTTTTTACATTTAAAACGAAGTGTCTAAAAGTGTATCCAGGATGATTTATTAGCAGAGATGTTGCACAGTTCCAAAAAGAGCAGAACAACTCCAGAACAAGTTTATTTGCTCTTATTTTGGTCAGATACCGAAGATGCTAAGGTTTGGATACAACAGTTCGAAAAGATAAAGAGAAATTTGAGTGGTAAGACCAGCAGATACTGGTAAGAGTTGAACGGTTTTTATTGGTCGATGCTAAAATGTGGTTTGAGAATTGGTTTCCAACGTTAAGAGATTGGTCTAATTTTAAATTTGAACTTTTAAGAGTCATTGTTACACAGAAAATGGTAGTTTCTTCATAAAAAAAGGATTGTCTTATTGAAAAAACGTAATTTTAAATTTGAACTTCATTCAGTCATTTTCACATAGAAAATTGTTGGACGATTATTTTTTAAAGCCTCTACTTTTGACAGCTCAACCTAATTTGTATACATTTTATGTTCAAAACAAAAAAGGTTGCTTCATTGAAAAAAAAAATGTAATTTTAAATTTGGACTTGTAAGAGTAATTTTAATAGAGAAAATTGTAGCCGTTTCTTTTGACAGCTCACTCTTTAGTTCTTATGTAGCTTATGATCATAAAAAAAGTGTTGCTTTATTGAATAATTTTAATTTTAAATTTGAATTTTTATGAATCATTTTCACACAGAAAATTGTTGGACGTTTAATTTTTGAAGCCTCTTCTTTTGACAGCTGTCTCTAATTTTTTATACATTTTAATGTTCAAATTAGAAAGGTTACTTTAGTGAAAAATTTGGGTGCTAATGAGTACAGAAGGTTTAATTTTTAAACTGAATTAATTGTTTACGTGATTCATGAAATGTACAAGAATCCGTTACTATTAGAGATTTCAATTAAATATAAAAAAAAGAAAAAGAAATAATAATGTATAAGAAACAACAATTGTTCCTCCAAAATAATTCAAAACTCTCAGAATTTTAAGCGAAATTAAAATTTAAGAGTCAACCATTCATAATGATGCCGATATTGCCTTAGCTAGTAAAAAAAAATAAACAATGTATTTTTTTGATTTAAGTCGGGTCACGTAACTGAAAACTATTTTCTTAAAGACTCAAAGATAAAACACATTAAATTAATTTTGTTTCTTCAAGGCAAAGCGAGTGTTCCAATGGAAATAAACATTAATCAACCTATATGGGTTTATTGATACCGAGCTTAAGTGTCCCTTGGATGTGTGAAATATTTATTGAACAGTCCGGGTTAATTTACAGGAAATTTGTATTATGGGCATAACTTGAGACAGTTTATTTAAATAAATAAATAAATGTTTAATTCCAAGAGACCTTGTACAGGTATGGGAAAAGTCAAAACATGGTGTACAATTTAATGAGGTAGAATAGAAATTACAAAGTACTAAAATTCTGAAATAGATACTAAACTTAAAAAAATCTAAAACAAACTTATTTATAAACCAAAATATAATTATAATATTTATGAACGAGATGATTTATCTACGAATCAAGGAACTCAGAAACAGTATAAAATGCTTTCCTTGAAAATAAGTCCGTTATTTTACGTTTAAAGTATTTAGTACTATTTATTTCTTTAAGAGTCGGATCCAGTTTATTATACAACTTAATTCTTAAAAAATAAGGACTTCTTTCAGATAACGTCAAATTGTGAGACGGAATTACTAAAGAATCGCTATTTCTGGTACCATAATCGTGAATATTAGCATTTATCATTAACATATTTAAATTATTTTTTACGTATATTAGCAGTTCAACCATATATATACAGGGCAGCGTTAATATTTTTAATTGTTTAAAAATATTTCTACAAGAAACATATCTAGAAATGCTAGCGAAATTTCTGAGACACCGTTTTTGAAGCCTAAAAAGTCTAATTAAATGGGGCGATGATCTCCAAAATATAATACCGTATTTAATTCGGGAGTATACCAAACCATAATAGTAAGAAATTAGAATTTTTTCATTGCATAATTGTTTAAGACGTATGAATGCATAACAAGAGGAACACACTTTTTTACACGTTTCATCTATATGTTGCATCCATGTTAGCGAAGCGTCAATATGAATTCCCAAAAATTTTGTGTTCTGGCTCTGTTGTATGGATTTGCCATTTATTTTTAGTAAATGGCATTCATCAGTTATCGGTCGAAGTGTAAAATGAACAAATGTTTTTTTCTCCGTATTCATACATAACTTATTTGATGAAAACCAATTTTTAAATTTGTTAATCATATATTGTAGTTTAACTACATACTAAATACATACATACATACATACATACTAAATATAAGTTCGGAACAGATGTTAAAATTACAGGCAAGCCAGCTCAGTCTAGGCACACGTTTAATGTTTATGTTACTGATTATAATGATACGTAGATTCGTATTATGAGTTACCGGATGTTTTAAGAATTTCCGTGGATTTTGGAATTAGTTTAAATCAATTAAAAGTACTTGAACAATATCGAGATCAATTATGTCAGATTATTAAAATAAAAATAAAAATTACTGGTTTACTAGTTTTTCAGTTTCTGCAGTAAACAACTGTGTTATGGAAATTATTAATTTTATTGCCATGTCAACTTTTAGCAACATTGTTTTACAGGATTTGATTTATTTTAATCAAGTTTTAATAGCCTTAGAAAAAGCATGGTTTTTCCTAAATATTTGAAAATGTTTTCACAAACAAAAAAATTTATTTTCTTGGATGGAAGATTTCCGCCAAAGATGGTAGATCGGAGTAGAGAAAAATAGAGGCGTTGACAAAAATTTCGTCCCCGAAAAATGTTAAACCAGTCAGTCTTTGGCCGAGCGGGTTATCATTAGTGACTGATTTGCAAGACTCAATTTTTTAAAACTGAAGGTAAAGTAAATGTTTTGACTGCTTTGATTTTTATTGTTGCAGGGATGCAATTATAAGCCTTGAAACATAAAGTCAGCATACTTTCATGTTTAATGTTATGTTTTATATCTCAAGGATGAAGTAATAAGCCTTAAAAGGTGGGGTCAGCATACACCCATCTTTAATGTTATACTTTATGTATTAAGGACGAATAATAAGCCTCAAAAGGTGGGGTCAGCATACACCCATCTTTAGTGTTACTTTTTTGTCTCAAGGGCGAATAATATGCCTTAAGAGATGGGGTCAGCATACTCCCATGTGTATTGTTTTGTCTCAAGGGCGAATAATTTGCCTTGAAAGATGGGGTCAGCATACCCCCATGTGTATTGTTTTGTCTCAAGGGCGAATAATATGCCTTGAAAGATGGGGTCAGCATACTCCCATGAAATATTTATGAATTGTTTTTTAGGATTACAAATTGAAAGATGGGGTCAGCATACTCCCATGAAATATTTATGAATTGTTTTGTTTTTAGGATTACGAACTGAAAGCTGGGGTCAGCATACTCCCATGAAATATTTATTGATTGTTTTTCAGGATTAAAAATTGAAGAATGGGGTTAGCATACTCCCGCATGAATTATTTTATTTATGAATTATTTTTGAAAATTACAAATTGAAAGATGGGATACTCCCATGAAATGTTTTATTTATGAATTGTTTTTTAGGATTATAAATTGATGCATGGGGTCAGCATACTCCCATGAAATATTTTATTTATGATTTGTTTTTCAAGATTACAATATCTTGAAGTTTGGGGTCATGAAAGTATATATTGGACATTGGCATGTAGGTCACGTTTTACTTTTTTCCACAGAAAATGAAGACATCACAGTGGAAATGAATACATGTTTCGAGAACGAAACACCCGTCAGTCTGGCCGTGTTAGAGTCAGCGAATTAGGATATCGCCGCCACTGGGGTCGACAGTACCACGTGTCCAGGACTAGGAGAGCGGGGACTTGACTTTCGACCAGCCGAACGCGATGAAGTGATAGAGGCAATATGCCGTTAAAGACAATCTTTATTTTGTTCTTTAATAAATAACATTACAAACATTGTTTACGAGATATTCAATAAAACATTATAAAACCATGTTAACACGTGTTTTGTGAAGTGGCTATACAGGGTGTTAAAGTATACAGGGTGACAAATCATTTTAAAACAATAATTTTGAAGTTAATTCTTTTAACTTCTAACAATAATTTATTTTTTTAAATTTCTAAGTGCGAAACATTAGGAAATTTCTCGTTAAATATGATCGTGGGCGTAATTCGCGAGTTTAAAATCAATAGTGGAACCACCGATGTCGGTCAATATGACAGCCAGTGAAGTTCTTGGTTTTGAAATCAATAGCTGGCTGCCGGATAACACGACCGCCTCGGTGAGAATTGAACCACCGATGCCGGTCAACATGACCATCGCGGCAGTTAAATTGTATTTAGGCTTTTAGTGTACTAGAAAGAAAAGTAAGGAATCAATATTTTTCTTACATTTTGGATGGTCAAATATTTACTTTTATCCAAATAAATACAAATTAAAAATAAAGACACCCTTCAGTAACTTGCGTTGAATAGAGACTCATAGACAGAAAAACGTTGAGTATGGTTTGCGAAGATTATTGTTACGTCAAGTGTTTATTTGTTTATAGTTGTAAATATTTAAAACACCACGTATAAACATAATTAATTTAAGGGCACTCTACCTGCTTTCTCCATTCGCGTCTTTATAACTGCTAGTATACAATCCGACTATCCTATTTTTCATATCACCGCTAAATTCTATTTGTAGGTTTTCCTTTCCGGGTGTGAAATTAGATTGATCTGTTTTTCTTATAGTCAGCAACTGATAGCTTTGGTCGAGGGAGTAAGTTCCGTTCTCGGAAGAGATGTGCACATTGTCGATGTTCAACGTGTGGCTGTGCAGACTGATGCTGTCCGTCGTAGATAAAATGTCCACAGAAATGTCGACTTTTCCTATAAAACATTTTTTTTTTTTTAGAAACTTATTACATAAAATAAGTATACGCTTTAGAGTTACACAATTTTATTCAAAAATCCGACGTCTCTAATATTACATATAAGGAGCCATTTACTGCAAGAACGTCACGACTCAAAAATAAGGGATTCCAACGGTTTATTTATGGAAATCCTGTGGACCTGTTGTCATTGACAGGATAATGCTATATATAGAGTTATATAGATTGATCAAAGCAGGTCATTTGCGAGCGGCCATATTGCCTGGTAAGTGTTCATTAATTTGAATCGAATTAGCAAAATGTGTTTGAAAACTAATTTACAGCCTTTAAATTGTAAAAAAAAATAATTACCTACATTTTTACTTCAAAGCATAATCTTCTGTTTATTTTTAAAAACACGGATGATCAATCTATATAACTATCTATAACATTGACTTTATCAAATCACCAGGCCCACGGTGTTGCCATATTATAACCCATATGTGCGTAAACCCCGGTCCTCCACCAGCTTCAATCCAGCCCGAGAGAGATTCAGAAAATTTTAATATTGCGCAAAAAAATTATAGAGTTAGCACAAATAGTTTATTTGTAATTATTTAGTATACGCAGTGGAACGTCACTGTATTCTCAACTCATGAAGACTAAAATTGATAAATAATATTATTAAGGGTATGCAGTGGAATGCCACAGATCGTGTCAGAAATAGTCGTTAGAAAGAAACAAACAAATATATATTCGGGAAGCCGCCCGATGCACTTCAAGCGCACGCGTACGATCGAGAGTATTCTAGTTGCTTATTGGGGGTAATCTTAGATAAAAGAGACCAGAGATATAACATACATCGGTGTTTAACCTGCGCAAATATTGCCAATTTCTAAAGAAAAGTTAACGGAGTGGGAGAACTGGGCAGGGACCCGAACTCTGTGACAGGGACCGGACTTTGTTTATTAGCATCATAATGAACTATTAGATTTATTTAAAATATACGTTCAATGGAATTTTGTATTATGAAATAAATTTAACGTGATTTTTTAATATTAAATAGATGCCACGACATTTTATGTAAAGAGAAGACCTTTTATAGAATATTTCATTAGCTATTATTTACTACGGACTTTTCTGTAAGAGACTTCAGTAAAATGTTGAAATAGAATATTGTTAATCGAGTAAGAAATGGTACTCATTGTCTAAGAGTATTATAAAAAAAAGCATGTACGTAGGCGAATACTGCAAATCAAACATTATATTTTTTCTACGACTTGACATAATATTAAAAATAAGTCAAAATGAGAAAATGCTGTTTTGTATTATAACCTCAGAAAAAGATATATTAAAGCTTGTTTCTTTAGGAATATTAATTAATATAGAGAATGAGTCACATAAAACTCTAGAAATGCATATGTCTGAAACCAGATAACATTTTAAAATTTAAACCTATTAAAATTCATTTGGTCGCTAGGAGTGGGTGATTATCGAAATAAATTATTGATCATGAATAATAATCGATTATTTTCGATCAATCGATTATTTTCAAGCAATTTATTTTTGTTCGTATTTCCTTTAAAATATACTACTTGATTACCTTTGAAAAATCAAAATAGATTAATTTAAAAGCCAATTATAACCGATAAATCAGTGTTTACAAAAAATAATAAACGAATTATCGTTTATTTTAAATAATCGATTGTTTTTAAGTAATCTATTTTTTTTTCGTATTTCCATTGAAATAGATTATTCGATAATCTTTGAAAAATCTAAAATAATCGATTAATCAAAAATAATCGATTAATTAAAAAGTCGAATAATCGATAAATCGATTAAAAATAAAGAATTATTTCCTTTAAAATCAATTATTCGATCATATTTGAATTATAGAAAAATATCGCTTAATCAAAAATAATCCATTAAGGGAAAATAACCAATTAATTAAAAAGCCGATTCTACGATAAATCGATTTTCCAAAAAAATAACTGAATTATCGATTATTTTCAAATAATCCTTTTGTTTTAATATTTAATTTAAAATTGATTATTTGATTATCTTTGAAAAATCGAAAATAATCGATTAATAAAAAGCTAATTCTAAAAAATAACCGAAATATCTATTATATACAATAACCGATTATAATCGATCAATCGATTATTTTCATATAATCTATTTTTTCGCATTTCTTTTAAAACAAAACAAATTATTCGAATACCTTTGAATAATCGAAAATAATCGATTAATTGAAAATAATCGATTAATCGAAAATAATCGATTAATCGAAAATAATCGATTAATCGAAAATATTCGGTAAATCGAAAATATTCGGTAAATCGAAAATAATCGATTAATTTAAAAAGTCGATTAAACAATAAATCGATTTTTCTAAAAAAATCGATTATAATAAATCGAATATTTTGAATAAATCTACTCTCCTTTTGTAATTCCCTTATAATCGATTATTCCATTACCTAAAAAACGAAAACAATTTATTGAGAGTGTTCGATTAATCAAAAATAATCGATTAAAAATAATCGATTAATTATAACGGATAAATCGATTTTCATGAAAACGATAAATCAATTATTTTTGTAACCCCTACCGATCGCATGCTTTTATCCGAGCATTTAGCTCTAAAATTTAATGATTCGGATTTATTGATCCTGTTATCTTTGAAACCGTATTCGATTACATAATAAATATTGCTAGAATTTAGATTTTTTTTGTAAATGAAGATTATTTTTCGAGTTGTTTAGGGGTTTATACTATATTATATATAGTTTTACTTTGTTTTAAGACTTAAGATTTAAATGTCACTTCCGATTTAACCGCAAATGAAATTAACCTTGAAGTTTTAAGTAGGTGAACCTGTATTTCATCTAATATTCTTGTAAAAATACCTAATAAAGGGCTAAAAACCACCTTTAGTAAATATTCTTATAAAACTACTTTTTAAAAACAAAATTTCGTTAGTAACAATGCCTGTTTACTTCTTATTTAGATTAAATGTTTAAAATTTTACTCTTTTTTAAATTAATGCATTATGAAATCTATTTTCTGAAATATTGTATTTGATGCTTAATATTTATTGAAACCCCTTAATGCGGATCTGAAGTATTCAGCTCAAAGAATCATGGCGACTTTATGTCAAAAAGTCAACAAATATTTACCGCTGAAAACGAATATATTTCTAATTTTTCATAACATTGACACTTATATTATTTGTATATACAATTTTTCACCATACATCGTGACATTTTCAACTTGAAATTGAATAACTAAAACACTTTAAATTGCTAATAACACCAACAAATAATTCAAAAAACGGCGGTCCATAAATGATTTACTCACGCGGAGACAAGCATAGAATAGAAATTTCGGAGCAATTCGGGTGGCGTCGTGAACACAATGATTTTTAATTGGTGGGTTACTTAGGGTTGGAATAGACAACGTGCGCGATGTGCAATGTTACATCTCCGGTCTCTTTTATCTAAGGGGGTAATATATAAACCGCTCAGCGCGGATCACCTGATTACTTCTTAATAACTGGTAAAGTTCGCATTGCATATTCACGTGCGATCGAGAGTACAACGCGGAAAATATTCAAGCAAAAACATGTCTGGTTCAAAAAAGCGGAAAGTGGATACAGAATGTCGTCAATTCCAGAACAAATGAACTGATGAATACTTTTTTACCATGCACAGTGGTAAACCTATGTGTTTGTTGTGCAATGAAACAATTTCTGTTTTAAAAGAATACTATATGAAGCGGCATTACTCCAGCAAGCATTTTGCTCAATATAATTCACTTATGGGCCAGTTAAGAAAGGATAAAATTAAAAAACTCATTACCGATTTAGGGAAACAGCAACAAATGTTCCAATCACAAAGATCAAATCTAGACAATGTTGTTAAAACTAGTTTTAAAAATAGTTCCAAAATAGCGAAAACATCAGTCATTTTCTGAGGGACATAGTAGGTGAGTTCGGGCTGCGCACTACAGAGTGGAGTGTAGTAATTAGGCGTAAACGGAGTGCGAATATGATTTTACTCCTTTAACTCTCGGAGTGCAATGTCAATTGTCAATGTGACATACCAGTTCTTAAAATTTAATCGTACTTGTCAGTAACGACCGTATAAGTTTCTTCCATATTAATGATATTCACGGGAACCAAAAAAAAAAATTTATTTACTAAAGAATCACTCACAATTAACTTATTATCAATTTAAATCACCTTATGCGCATGCCCGATCCACACTCCACTCCACCATCTCCGAACGGTCAAAGAGGAACTTTTATTTTAACTCCTTCCGTACCCGAACGCCTTAGGTACTTTAGGAGTGAATATAGTGAAAAGAGTGCGTAGACCGAACTCACCATTAGTTAAAGAGTGCCTAGTTATGTTAAGAAAACGCGAAAAGAATCAAAGTTGTATAAATTCGTTAAAATGTATAAGTTGTTTGGATTAAAGGTAGAAAAAGAAAGAAAAAAGTTCTTTTTATCTTACAAAGATTTGTATTTAGTACTGCAATCGATTTTGAAGTGTAAACACTTTAACTTCAGGCACGCCTAGTGGGTAAGAGAAAAAAGGGAGAATTAGTGGATTTTACTTTGTTAGCAAGATGAAAAATGAATTCAGGGGATTCAAAACGTAAAAATCCGTCAAACACTCGAGGTCGAAAAAATCATCATTCCTATCCTTATCTGTATACAGATAAGAAAGTAAAAAACAATGGAACATTGATTTAATTTAAGAGAAATTAACAAAATTAATCCACTAATACCACTAATATTTATTTATTCATACTAACAAAAATTAATCAAATTAAAGTACTGAGTGAAAAAAAGAAAAAATTGAAAAAATTGCTAACGAATATTGAAAAAAGTGTTAAAACAACAATCACCACAGAAAATGGTAATAACGTAGAATCATTTTTCAGTTATTATTAAAAAACCTTTATTGGATTTCCGTTATTTGTATATTAAACAATTTTATTTTGAAATGAGCTAAAT